GTTTTTTTATCTTTCTGATTATGGCTGGATTAGGGGTAACTTTTCTAAGATGATTTTTTTTTTTTTTTTTAATTTGTGAATTTTTTGATATCACTATAATTGAATATATTCAAGAAACTGGAATAGTTGATTTCTCCCTGTTACTATTGCAATTTGTGCATACCAATACCTTATCATTGAATTAATTTTGAAGTCTCATGCTAGTTTCTTATTGTTTAATGCAAATTCGAATTTGTTGTTGCATGCCATATTGATATATGCTGTAATCTGGATTGTATAACTGCTAATTGACGAATTACATGTTATTACTGAGTATTACACATACCTAGACTGTATAACTTTTAATTGATGAATTATTTGTTATTGTTGATTATTATAACTACGTGCAGCATACACAATTCACAGTAATCTGATTTTTCATTTCACCGGTTTAATTTTGAATTGTGCTTTGAGCTTAGGCTTCCTGCTGGCTGAGGGCTGGTTATTGAAACAACCTGTGACTGGTTCATGGTGAACCTACTTGGAGTTTTGTATTTCGAGCTGAACGTGCTTGGTGCTTGGTTCTTCAAATCTGCTTGGTGAAATTTTCCTAAACCCCTGCATGCCTATTTTCTTATAAATTGCTTTGTGGCTACATATTGAATATTGTCTTTCTTCCCCTGTTTCCCCTGTGAATTGTGTTCCCTGATGTTTAGAATTGAGCCTTGACCTGGGGTTTTAAACCTCATGGAATCCTGGTAAATTCTAACATCGTGAATTGTTAGAATTTTGATTATTAGTCTGTGTGATTTTAGTAGTTTTATTCTTTGTGAATTCTTGTGATTATAGACCTGTTTAATCTCAGTGTCTATCTTTGTGATTCTTTGAATTTATTAAATAGTCTATTATCACTGTTATATACTGCTCACTAGGTTAATAGTCTATTTACAGTCTGATATTTCTTCATTCCTGTTTTGATTGCACTGTGACTTGTGTGATATTAAATTGTTGATTGAAATATCTAATTACTGCTTTTCTGTGGAACTGTGACCTCAAAAATTCTTTGTGTTGATTAAAAACTTCAAATGACAATGACTACATTTGAACTTGGAGTTTTTAATGGAAAAGAGGATTTTTCCCATTGGCAGCAAAAAATGAGAGGGTTCTTAGTTCAATAGAAAGTTTCTAAGGTTATAACTGGTGAATTTCATGCTACTATGACTAATGATCAAAAACTTGAATATGATGAACTTGCGTATACCTCTATAATTCTTCATTTGTCTGATCAAGTGTTGAGGAAAGTTGGTAAACTTGATAGTGCTAAGGCTTTGTGGGATAAGTTAGAAGAACAATACATGTCTAAGAGTCTACCTAATAAACTCTTCCTTTTAGAGAGGTTCTTTAGCTTTAAGATTGATATGTCGAAGGACCTGAATGATAATCTTAATACTTTTAATAAATTAGTTCAAGATATCGCTAATACTGGGGAGAAAGTATCTGAGGAATATAAGGCTGCTATCCTCTTGAATGATATACCCGATGTGTATAATGATGTTAAGTCAGCTATTAAGTATGGCAGAGATACCTTAACTCCCAAGATTGTGATTAATTCTTTAAGAAGTAAAGAATTAGAGCTTAAGGTTGATAGAACTGGGAAGGAGTTTGAGAGTTTGTTTGTGAGGGGTAGACCTATGGCTAGGCAAGTAAATGGTCAGAATCATCAAGGGAGCAATCATAACAATTCTGAGAAGAAGGGGAAATGAAGATCTAGATCTAAGTCTAGAAGTGAAATTAGGAAGTGCTATGGGTGTGAAAAGACATGACATTTTATAAAGGATTGTTATAAAAAGAAGAATGAACAGAGAGAGAAGAGGGTGGATGAGGGGAATGTTGTTGAACCCCTAGGTGAGTCCACTGTTGATGTGTATGTGGTGACAGAACCTACTTCTGATTTGAATATTGTCGAGTGTGTAGATGAGAATGATCAGGATAGTGAATGGATTCTGGATTCAGGGTGTACATTCTATATGACCTCTAGAAAACCTTGGTTAGAGAACTTTAAGGATCTTGATGGTGGAGAGGTAGTTATGGGTAACAATGTAGCTTGTAGCATTAAAGGAGTTGGTAGTGTGACTTTGAAGTTTGACAATGAATGTACCTTTACTTTAGAAAGAGTAAGGTATATTCCTGATTTGAATAGGAACTTGATTTCTATGGGTAGTCTAGATGACATAGGCCTGCAAGGTCGGATTGGTAATGGTTCTTTGGAAGTAATTAAGGGTTCCTTAGTTATTCTCAAAGGTACCAAGAGGAATGGTATATATGTCACTAGAGCTAGTGTAGTTTAGAGTCACATTATTGAGTCCTCTAGTGCCGAATTGATGCTACCCTAAAGTGGCATAATAGGCTAGCTCATGTGAGTGGAAATGGCTTGCATATTTTGAGTAAGAGAGGGGCATTTGGTAAGAGCGTAACCTTTAATGAAGGTGATATGCCTTGTTTGAGTAAGAGAGTCTCTAGTGATGATCCTAAGAGTGATGAGGATGAGGATACTAGAATGCAAGTAAGTGTGGATCACTCTCCTGGACTTGTTGAGGAGGAACAAGTTGAGAATGAGGTTGAGGGGGAGAATGATGGTGTCACTGGTTCTCATGAACCTGTTGAAAGTCGTGAACATGACTTAGTAGGTAATGTGGTTGATCTTCTAAGTGATTATCAACTTGCTCGTGGTAGAGCTAGGAGGGAGATTGGGGGAACTCGCGAGGATGGGTGATTATCAATAATTTACTGTTTTATCTTATCAAGACTTAGTTTTCAAGGAGCCTAAATCTTATGAGGAGGTTTTGAGTTGTCGACAGTCTAATGAGTGGCTAGGTGCTATAGAAGAGGAGATGAAGTCTCTTGTGAAGGATAATACTTGGAGATTAGTTCTCAGACCTAAGGATAAGTCCTTAGTGGACTGTAAGTGGGTTTATAATATTAAGGAGGGTAGTTCTTGTAAAGAGCCTCATAGGTTTAAGGCTAGACTTGTTGCAAAGGGGTTTATTCAGAAACCTGGTATTGATTATTATGCTATTTTCTCGCATGTTGTGAAATATACTACTATTAGAGTCATGCTTGTTTTGGTTGCTAAATGTGTTTTAGAACTTGAACAAATGGATGTTATAACTACCTTCTTGCATGATGACTTGGATGAAACATTTTATATGGTACAACCTCGTGGTTTCATTGATTCTAAAAAGTCTAATCATGTTTGTTTGCTTAATGGATCTTTGTATGTTTTGGAACAATCACATAGACAATGGTATATTAGATTTGACAATTATGTGTCTTCTATTGGCTTTGTGCATAGTGCCTTTGATCATTGTCTTTATTTTAAAAGGAAATGATAAGAATGATGTGATTATTTATCTACTTTTGTATGTGGATGATATACTGCATTAGATCGCATTAAAATGGCTTTTAAGATGCTTGAAAGTTTTTTTTTTTTTTTCAGACTTAGAATTTCATTTTAAATTTTGTAAAGAGGATGTTGTGTTGAAAGGGTATGTAGATTCTGATTATACTAGTAATAAGGACAATATGAATCTATAACTGTATAGTGTTTATTTTGTGTGATACTTGCATTAGTTGGAAGTCTATATTGCAGTCTATTATTGTCTTATCTACTATTGAAGCTATAAAAGAGTTTGTGTGACTTAAATGCTTGTTATGTTAATCTATTTTGTTTGAGAAAATCTCTACACAATTCAATCCGGTGGATATGGGAACAAAAGGTATTACCTTTTTTTCCTAAGTTTAAATGGTGTTTGCAAATTCTAAGTATTGATACCGGTTAATTTTGTGTTTTGCAGGTACTAATCTTCTTGGTGTTGGTATTATGAATCACTAATATGTTTGGTGGTTTATGGCATTGGCATGAGATTGTTGAATATTGATGCCAATTTTGTCATTTATATTCAACTATGGGGCAATGATGAAACCATTGGGTTTGGCCGATGTTGTTGGAAAATATTAAATAACCATTGCTCGATAATTCAAAGCAACTGGCCCATAAACTCCGGCCCAAATCCAACCACATTTGAGCTGCTCTGGCTAAAGATAACTGGGCTGACTTGTTGGGCTGATTACTTGGCCCATTACCTGGACCTTTATATTCTGGAGCGTGACTTAGCGTGGGAAAATTAATTCATTCTCTCTCTCTCTCTCATGTCTGGGAAGTTTCGGCGTTTTTTCCTTGAGAGTTCTTCGTGATTCTCTTCTCTATTTTCTTTGTGGATCTTGAGTGGATTTTAACTTGGTGTTTAAATCCTTTAATCTTTGTCATTACTCATTAGTAGCCTTTTGCGGTTGTGTGAGAGAAAGAGTGGGCAGTCCGATTTGGTCGTGTTTGTTTTCGTGCCATTGAGTAACCTGTGTGGTTTAGATTAGGGATTTGAGGTGTTTTGTAGCTATTGCTTTGTACAAAAGGGTACAATATCTGTGACTATTCTAAGCCCAAAAATGCAACAAGAATGAGTTTCTTGGTTGCGAGAATTTCTCTGTAATTGTTGGTTCAATTTACTTCCGTTGTACAATTTTCCTTACACTCACAATAATGTAATGAGGTTTGTATACCTCATTCTACAACATGTCAGTCCTGTACGAACATTTACCACCTCTTAGGTTGGGGGATAATTTCTACTGCCCATCAAGGCCACTGGCCAAATCCATATCATTAGAATGCTTTTCACCTCTTGGTGGTGGTTGTAAGAGGAGAGGGAGGGCCTTAAAAAACCAAGAAAAATAATCTGAAATGAAGCAAGATGGTGCCAACGTTGACAGCTTACGATAGTGTAATCATAAAAACATTTCAAATAGCAGTATGATTTTAGATAAAGCAATACACATGATAAAGGAAATCAAGCAACAATAAATAAAATTCAAAATTGTTTCATAAGAAAACTACCTAAGCATATCAACCAGAGTCATAACAAAGGTTAGATAAAAGTGCTCGTGTCTTATTGCCAATGCTCCTCTCCTCACATTGCCTTCTTAAGAATCTCTTCGGAAGGAATTTCAAGTGTAGCTCCCGCGTGCTCTTTACTCGGCTTCACTTCTGCATCAAGCAGTAAAGGCATGTGAAAATGCACTTATAAATCATTATAAGCTAACACGGTTATAGTATTCACATAAACAATGTGAAATGCTCATAAACAAACGTGATAGCCTACTGGGTTGTGAGCTAGCATTTCACAATTTACAGAAATAGAAATCACATATCCAGATAAACATAGGTGACAACTACCTTAACGAGGATCCATAGCTGTGTGTTTTTCTCACTCAGCCAACAAATAAAATGGATAAACTTGATGATATAAATCAATTCACTGGAAAACTTTGATATTTTGCTGGATCGAGGCAGTATAGAAGCATGCAAAACGGTAAGGCTTCTATTGATTTTCTTCACTTCACCCACCTCAAGTGCAGCCTAAAACCATGGGAGTGGTCCAAAGCAATCAACCGCAATAGTAAAGTGACTTAGTTCAGAGCTGCACTCCACTCCGAATTGAAATGCTTATTCCCAATAAATTTAAGGTATACTGCTTGAATATTTTTTTAGCACTTCATTCATTCATTGATAAATCTACACATACACTTAGCAACAACATCAAGCAATGTTAGTTTGGTCTTATCTTTCCCTTCTAATTTATAGCTTCTGGACTATTAAGATCATGCCACTCTTATGAACGGGAGCCTCTTCGAGCCTCCTATCTTATCCATTTTTATGAATATATATCCATCTTATTGGAAACTAAATTTAATAATTTTGGCATTTTCCGGATCATCCATTTCAACTAGGGAAATGAAAAGTAAATCTGGGGAGATTCCTTTAGTCTCTATTCTTTTTTCAGAATTCACAAATATTAGATGACTACCATGAACCTAAACACAAAGTAAAGTAGCAATTCTTAGCACAGTTCAAGTAACTAAATCCGGTACTGTAATGGATGATGGATCCAACGCCCTAATCACGTGAAAGCAACAACACGACGAAATAGAATACTTGTTGGGTATTTTAGTGATGTCCAAATAACCCCTAGGCAATATGAAAAACCGTGGCCCGTTAACTTCATAGACTATAAGCCCAGGATTGAAGAATATCATTTAATCCACACCACAAAGAGTTGGAACCCAATTGTGTTGGGTGTTTTGAGGAAATCAGTCCATTAGGGTTTTGGTGCTCAATACCCCTTTTTGGAAGATAACCTTGAAGAACAGATTGTATGCACTTTGTATCCTTATCCTTTGTATCTCTATCCTTGATAACTAATTTCATATCTTGAGGAGTCTATCTTTGTGAGAAACTCTTGGAAATTCGTTTTTACTTCTTACCTATAAATTGGAGTCTCTGGCCTCGGTTTTCAACACACCAAAACTTACTTTGCTTTGTGCCTCTAGGAAGAAGCTGAAAACCGTCTTTGCCTTTGTGTGCAATCTTCTTCAGCCTTAGTGTGCCTATCAGATTCTACTGTTATCTCGAACCTTTGGTGTACCCCTTTGTGGTCTTGTGTTTGAATCCCCAAGCCGAATAGAAAGGGGATTATTTGTTCATTTTAATTTCCATTCTTCATTTGTCGACTTCCTTATAGTTTGGCTTTAATCCACTTACTAACTTGGTTAATTTCTTCTATTTGTAGGATGGATTATCACTTATAATACCAAAATTTGCTGAAAACACTCGATTTAGGGTGCTCAACGCTCAATGTTAGACATCCACTTTTATAGGTGCGGAGGATTACTGTATGCTTCTAATCTCAAGTCTCTCTTTTTTCTGGACCAAGAAAAAGGGCAATCCTAACAAGAAAAAATTGGGTTGATCCAAGGTTGCCAAAAATTAAATAGTATAAGTACGAGCAATGAATCCAACACGGACAATACAACAAACAAGTGGCGTGCATATTATGAATTAAAACATTCGAAAACATTCCGAAAACAAGCAAAAATCAAGAAGACAAAAACTCGAGATGACACAGAAATGAGAAAGGATTAATCAGAAATGAGAAAGGATTAAGTTATACCATAACCACCACGTTCATTGAGCTTGGCCTGAACGATCATGGTGGAGATGAATTGGGAGGCCTCACGCGCCTCTTCGAGCAGTCGCTGTAGGTCGGCGGAGGAAGTCACGTGACGGTTCTCCTCGAATTTCTTCCTGACCTCGGCGGCGGACTCTCGGAGCATGAGAGTGTCTCCGGCAAACGCTTTCCGGGTGGCTCTCAGCACCGCTCTGTACGCACAAAGTGCTTCGTTCGCCATTTCTTCTCTGGTGATTTTTGGTCTCCAAGACTCCAATATCAATGTTTGGCTTAACTTTAAAAAAATACTAAAAATTTCAAATCAAAACTATTAATCCCTGTTTGTTTGGTGTAGATTAAAATCTACTAAAAATTTCAAATAAAAAACTATTAATTAATTTTAACAATACATCTAATTGAATTCACAACTTTACAATCATACATTTCATCAATTTTATCAAGATTTACTAAAAATTATTTTAATCTACATCAAGAGCTTAAGTTGAGTTAATTGTCTCAGCAATCACTAAACTTATGTATGTGTATTTGATTGTTCAATGAAGTTTTAAATATCGAATTTTGACTACTAAACTTATAAAAATATTGAACGTTACTCGTTGGTATGACGTCTATTTCACAACTCTAATGGAATTGGTAACGTAATAGATGGAATGAATAGGTGGGGTGGCGCCAAACACCGTTATGCAAATTATCACTTTAAAAAGACTTCTTTAATTACTCATTATGTTTTGAAAAACATATTTGATTTGCTCAATATACTTTAATGTTTTCGAGTTTGTCTACTAAACTTGTAAAACTAACATGTCGTGTCCTGAAAATTTAGGAATGTTATTTCAAACACCACTTATATACAACAAAATTTAATAGACGTTTTTAGCAATTTTAAAAAGGACCCTCAAAATTTAAAAAAATTAAATATAAACTTACAACTGAAAATTGAAATACAGAGCAAACGGATGCTAAATTTTGAAATATAGGGATCAAGCATAGGCTTAAAAAAACATAAACCCTAAACAAAAAGAGACACCATGTTTGGCGATAATATTTGTTTCGTGCGAAAATCGAGTCTCGCTAACAATTAAAAAATGGATCAGTCGATTGTGTAAAGAACAACAACCTCTCGAGATAAATTCTAACGATTGGTGTTTTATTGATGAAAATTACAATATGGACGAAATAAAATATCTCCAAGGGGCACAAGTACACGAATATTAGAAGAAATTAATTAAAGTTAACTAAGAAATGAAATTACATAGTTCTCTATTTGAGAGTTGGTTTGATCTTTTTTTCTCTTGTAGATTCTTCTCTCTTTTATACTCTTTTGACAGTTTCTCTTATAAAACTTTTTGAAAACTTCTGGAAACTACCCATTGTTATGTAATTACCCACTTTCTCTATCGTGGATGTTTTGTCATGAAACTACCGTTTTCAACCGCAGTCATTACCCCATCTCTTAACTTCTTGCAACCGAAATTCTTAGATCGTGAAATGTGATAAGATTACTCATTAATTGCTTTAATAACCGTTGCTTTGAACAGTAACCAAAAAACTATATTCACCCAGATTTTGAGCGTCACATAGGCTTGAGCAATGACAGACTTGCCCAGATCTTGGGCGTCTGTGCGTCTCATAGGCTTGTGCGATAATAGACCTCCATAGACTTGGGCGATGATGGACCTCTATTACATAACTCTGTCTTGGGTTTGAGTCCATCCTTCGAATTTCCTAACTGAGCTTCATTTTTTGGACCATTTAATTGGACCTCATTTTTGTATGTCAACAATATTCTTCTCAATGCATTTTTCAAATTCATTTTTTGGCTAATTAGCACAATGTTCCCTATCGTTTGGGGTCACTGGGCATTATGGACCTATCATTTTTTCGGCTGGGCATTTTAGCTCCATTTTTATGGAAAATACTATTATACCCCATCCAACCTAACACCACCACACCGCCGAACTTTCCCTTGTCAGTTATGTGCATGTACAAGGATGATGCAGTTACAGCCATTGTTTGTGGATTTAACAAAAAGAGGGACTTCATCCCCTTTCTGAAGATCAAGTTAATTTTTTATTTCCCTTCCTCTCTTTGTCATGAAATTGCAACCAATAAGGCTGGTTCCACATCAAAAAGTTTACCTCCGCAATTATTAGTTTCCAAGAATCATAGGGTAACAAATAAGGAACATGCTAACGATGATGTGATTATTGAGATCAAAATGGAAGCTACGGAATCAAAGGAAGAGGTAGAGCTAGAAAGGAAGGCGGAGGAAGAGCTATGAAGGGAGGCGTATACTAAGTTGAAAGAGGAACTTAGGTTGGAGAAAATTGCAAACAAAGACTTGGTGGATTCAACCTCTCGTTTTTCGTGATTTAGCCTCTCCTTATCAAAGGGATGCATACCCTCAATCACTTTGACTGATAGACCATAAGAAGTCTCTTCCAAACTGCGAAACCAAATGTCTCAAATACAAATGTCATTTTAAATGCAAACCCGAACACAATCAAATCAACATGGACTTTAGTGCAATAAAACCACTCATAACGAATTATGAGATAATTGCCATGGAAGTATAAACCTTAACGAAAATATTGGAACTTGGACTTAATC